CAGTTGTTCCGTATTGGGTAAAACACATCTTTAAATCTGAACTGACACGTCCCTTCTTGATGCTGCTTTGTAGGTAACGTGACCACCTTGTTCTGCACATTAGTAGTACCCAGGCACTGTGTAAGCAGCTTGGAAATAGCGTGGTATCTGCGACTGGAAAGGGGCATGGGTTGAAAGTGTGAGTTGATGTGATCTAGTTCTTGGAACACAGTGTATGTAGGCTGAGGGGCAGCTTTCCAGTCGTGTTTGTGGGCTCAGATCAGCACCCCAGGGCAGTCATGTGTTTTGCTTGACAAATACCTAGGCAAATACCCAGACCTCTCTCAGGCTTTGTGCTTTGATTTATTTATTTATCTTTTCTTTCTTTCTTTCTTTCTGATTTTGTGTGATGGGGGTGTGCAGATTGCTTCTGCTACCCGCCATGGTCAGTTTTACCTGAAAGTAACACATAAAAGAACAGGATAAGGGGAGGATTGTGGTCAGTGCTCTGAGAGCTGAAGCACCCACGTGACTTGTCTGTTCAGTGCCGTCTCTTCATGCGTTCAGTAGTTGCTGGCTATCTGTTACAGTAATAACAATGATAAGCTCTTGCAAAGTACTTCAGAAGAGAAAAATGTTTCACAAGAATTCCTCCCAGCATTCTTCTGAACATGTTTTGAACGTGTTTAACTGAGACTCTGGTCTCCGTTTCTTCAAATATAAAACAGAATAATGTGCTTCAAGCTTCAGAGAGCCCAAGAGTCAAAGCAGTGGTGAGCTGGGGGCAATGCTGGCTCCTGCCCCTGGCTGCATATCTCTGCACTTCTAGATTTTGGTATTTCTGTATCCTGTTGTGGCGAGGAAAAGGGACCCGAAGGCTAGAGCTTACCCAGTGGTATCCGTGGAGGGTCACTGTACCTGGATTTCACAGTAATGCCTGATAATAGCTTGTATTTTGTGAGCATGTTAAGATTATTTGACCTGGGAGTGTTGATTATTTTCCTTGGGAGGGTGCGTGTTTTTTTTTTTTTTTTCCCCAGTCAAAAATAAACAGAAAGCTGGGACTTCTGCTTCTGGTTATTTCCTCTTTGGGTGCGGTGTTCTTTTAAAGTGATGTTTTAACTACGCTATGTTAGGAGAACAGCGGAATAAGGACGTGAAATTCCTAGAAAAGGTATCTTGCTGAACTTTCAGTTGTTCCCGAGCAATGCGAGAGAAATCTGGCTGTATGTTGTGGTTCAGTTCTGTCTTACGAGTGCTGCCGTCTGCAGGGCTTTTCAGGAAGAGTTCTCCCCTTAGCTATTCTTCAAAATCTCTTCCCTCTTTTTTTTTTTTTTTTTTTTTTTTTCTTTTAATAGTATATGATCTGGCATCAATGGGCTTGGCTTTCTGAAATACAGCCTGCCATGCTTGATGATACAAGGTTGCTCTCTCCTTGCGAATGTACACAGGTTTTGTTACCTCAGTCCTCGTGAAAAATAAAAATTACTCTGTCTTGGCAAGTGTTACCTCATTTGAGTTCAACCCAACCATTTATCTTGGGCGATCACAAGGATCGAGCAACAGGACGAGGTGGGTAGAGCGCTTTGCAAGGCAGGGGTCTCTGAACACCGACTCATATGCAAGTCATGATGAAGCTCATCACTGCGATTTAAAATTATGTATTGCTTGGATAATTAGAAGTACTAACACAGTCTGGTGAATGAATGAAGATAGCATGTTTAGTGTTCAGCCATCAAATGATTAGATTGGCCCCCGCAGACCGTAAATTGGAATCACAGTGACTATTACGAGGCTGGCTTCAACTTGCTTGATGTTCAATAGGTTGAGAGACCAAGACTTAATATGTGATGTTAAAACAGGAGCATCAATTAGCACCTTATTATAAATATTTACATTTCCCACATCACAGTATAATTATTCTTTGTTCAGACTGCTATTTAAGACTGTTACATATCAGATCATACTTTGTAATTATGCCTGTGGAATCCAGCAATGCTTTCTGCAAGCAGTAGAAAGTGGATGTGTTTAAGTTCAGAGGTTTAACAGATGATGTGTTTGAAAATGTTGTAAAAAGGAGAGGGGTGGAAAAGAAATATCTACCACTCAGTCACCCAATTGCCCTCATTCCTTGTCCTGAGAGAATCCAACCCCATCAGTAAGGGCACTACCATGACTTCAGTGTCAGCACAGCTTTAGGGAGGAAATCTCCAAGGGGGATGGGGGAAACAAATGGCTATTTCACTTTTTATTATTCCTTTAAAGAATATAACAGCCCTGCTGCTGAAACCGTCCTTTGTTTTGCTCCCCTGGGAGAATTGCCTTTATCCAGGCCTCGGAGAGAAGCTGCCTGGGAGCTGAGGAGGCTGCAGCGCTCAGAGCCTTCCCGGTGGGGACAGCGCGTGGGACCCCCGGCCTCGGTGCCGGCCCGGCCCGCTTGCACGCGGCAGCCGGACCCGCTTGAAGGTTTCTTTAAGGGTTAGCCTAAACTTACATGGTGTCTTCTTATTACGCTTTCATAGTATGTTGCAGGTGGCTTGGGTGCCATCTAATTAGGCACTTGCAAACGTGTTGTGGGTTGTTGTGATTTTTAGCTATTGTGCCCTTGAAATAACATCCCGCTGCCTCAGCTGAGCGTGCTCTCAGTCCCATTCCTCTGTCAGAAGTCGTCTTTTCATTACTAAGTCCATAGAAAGAAATGTGCCCCCGTGCCTCGACCTGCTGCGTGTCTGAGCCCAAACCTGTTTTGGTCAGCCCTCGAGCTGAAACGCTGGGCCTTGTCACTGCTGTTAGGCGGAGCGAGCTGCCCTTGGGAAGCGCAGAGGATCCTGCAGGGAGCGGGGAAGGCGTTCCCACTCTTGAAGCTGTTTCCCATGGCTCTTTGGATAACTTCCTGAGAAATAATTGTTTTAAGCATTTCCATTGCGCTATTAGTCATGCTTGTAAGCTTGAATCCCCTCCAGACAGGTGTATTTCTCTCAGGTGATTCTTACGTCTTTTAAAATACTTAGTTAGCTAGATCAGCAATTCTAGGTGATATGGGTTATTTTACAAATTTCTCCAGAACCAAATGTTTAAAAGGGGCAGGAGTTCCTTCTTACTGGCTTGAAGTGATATTTAGCTAAGCTGACATGTAGGTGTTGTCTTCAGTTATTTGTATCTGTTCCCATTGGAAACCAGTGTCACGCAACCAATGGAAGGAACTGTGGATCCAGCCACAAACACGTTTCTTGTATGTGCAGTTACATATGTGTGTGTGTGTGTGATGGGCCGGTAAGGGGAGGGCACCTGGGGATGGAGCCCCCTTCCTCTCACAGTGCGTGAGAGCAGCCAGTGCAAGGACTGCAAGGCAGATTGCGGAGGTAACGCACAGCTTGGGCTGAGCTTTCCGTGTGCCTGTGCCTCCACACCCTTCAGTACAAAGTGTCTTTAGTGATTTAGGCGGGTGTCATCACGGGCAGCCGGTGTGCTCACCCAGCAAAGCCGCGGGGCAGCCGCGGGCAGCAGGCCGGGCCAGGAGGAGGGGACCGCAGCGGGCCGGGGTTTTTTGCCTGCCTGGGAGGAGCGGCCCGGCCGCGGCGGTGCATGTAGCACGGAGCTGCCGCCCGCTCCGGCGCCTCTTGCTCGGAGCTGCTGTCTGCTGCTCGGCTAACTCTGCGGCTGCGTGAGATGCGTTTCTGATACGAGCCCCCTACAAAACGGTTAGGTAAAATAAGGGCCATCCTGTGGTTCTTGCTGGTGGAGGGGATGATCGGTCTGCATAAAATTCCTCTTTATAGTCTTAGCCACAGAGGGAGGAAATACCATCATTTTTGACATTGTAAAGTGTTTTTTATCTTGCATTTATTCTTCTATGGTATTTTAAAATAGTGAATGTGCATTGGAAGGCTTGAGGTGGAAGAAGGTGGTTTTGTGTGTGAAACATTCAGGGTTTTGCATAGCGGCTCTTGGAGCTATCAAGAACAGAGCAAATCTGAGCAGGAGCCGTTCTGGGAATGCACAGGTTGCAAAACCTGTAAGTGCTGTGTTGTAAATGACTAAAGAAGATCTAGGGTGCCAACATAAAAAGAGGAGAAAAAAAAAAAAAAAAGCAGTTTTAATCACTTGGTGGTTTGTATTTTGTTCATTTCGTACAAGTGGATGTTGATGATCCATGCTATAAACCTGATGTGGCAATGGAGAATATTCACTTCAAAAGTCCTTTTATAGTCCTCTGCTGTCTGTGCAGGCCAGACCTGCTGATTTTGGATTTTCTCGACCAAGCAGAATGTTCCAACACCTGCCCGTGTGTGTGGGTGTTTGCCTGCTTAATGCAAAAGGTATGTGGTGCATAGGAAGATGATTAAGCTAAGGGAAAAAATACTTCTGAGTACCCGGCAGAAGACTCGTCCTCATTGTTTTAGCCTAGATCAGGCTGAGATCTCTCGACATGAATAAACAGAGCAGCTGGCAAGACGCAGGCTCCCGCCCGGGGCCGCGCGGGCTGCGCTGCGCCCGGTGCTCACGGGCTTGTGCAAGCGCAGCGCCGTCCTCCCGCCATCCCGCGGGCGCTCCCGCCGGAGCCGCGCTCCCGAGGCCGCCTCGCTGCGGCCGAGCAGAGACCTCCTTGGATGAGGATGTGTCACTGTTGTCAGGGCAACTGCCAACAGCGGCGTATCGTGTTTTCTCCTCCTGCGTGGCGTGCTGAATATTTTACCGTGCTGTAGCTGGGAGCAGGGGAGGAAGGTGCCGCGCGAGGGACCGGGAGCTCCGCGCCGGGATCTCGCTGAGCAGGTTGAGAGCGCGACGAGCGGCATCCGAACCTGCGTGCCTTCAATTCGGCCTTCTCTTGGCGGGGAGAGCGGCGTGCCCCCCGCTGCCAAGTGGATGTTGGTATTTGTCAGCTGTTTGCACGCTGCTTACCCGTAGGGGATCTGTTACAAGCGCTCAAATGAGCAGGCGGCGTTGCAGCTAGCTGCTGCGCAGGGGCTGCCCGCTCTACTTTTTTTTTCCCTCTGAAATAAGCAAGGGGGAGCAGCACCATGCCCGGATCCACTGCTGCCCTCCGCCAAGAGAGGCTGAAGAAGACAAGCGCCAGGCCAACCCCGCCGGGCTTATTCACCATTAGCGAGGAGGACGAGCTGCAGAAGAACGGCAACCCCAAAAGGCCGAGAGGTGAGCGGGGGTGCGCAGCGCAGCAGGAGCATCGTCCGCGCTGCTCCTCGGCGCGGAGCCGCAGCCCGGGGACGCGTCCGGGCGCCCGCGGATGTGCTCCGGCACGTGCCGGCGTTTCGGCCTCTTGCGCTGTTATGCAAGCGTCTGTCTCGGGTTTGAGTTAAAAAACACACTTTTTAATAATTCCATTTTTAGGTAGAGGTAAGCAAAGCTAATGCAAGACCCTTATCTCTACCTAAAAATGAAGCTATTAATGAACACTGACCAATATATTTTCTCTGAAAGGGCTTACAGGGACCTGTAAGAAGAGGTGGTTCTAGGCTTGCAGAATACAGAATGCAATAGCAGCCTGTCTCGAAGGCAGCTTTGCCCAAGAGGATGTGAAATCAGCTGTACTTCCATTCCTGTGCCTAATTGTTCAGATACTGCAACTTTGACAAGTTTAACTAAAACGAGGGCACGCTGTGACAAATTGTTACTGCTGGATAAAAATGATTTGTTTGCCGTAGGTGAGTGGTGGTGCTGGAGGGATGTTGGTGTTTGATTTATAGCAGAGGTCTGTCAAGCCTGTGTAGCCACTGTCTATCTTGCATCATGTAATTAATGTTTTCTGCCTGGATTCCAGTGTTTAAATTCTCCGAGTCTGCATCTTGCAGTTGTGATATTTTAAGCTTATACTATTGGATTTTAGATTTTGTTGTTCTTGATCAAGTGATTTACAGTTACGTGAATATTCTTTTTTATTGTCTTATTTGGAAACAAACAAAAAAAAAGAAGTATGAGTTTGTTTGTTTGTTTACAAAACATCTGTTAGTTGATAGCCTCAGGATAGTGCTTCAAATTTCAGATGTTTCCATTCTACCATATAACAGGAAAGACTAGCTAGCAAGCAAACATTTAAATAGCAAATGTATAGCAGGTATATTTACATGGAGCTGGATTGTTTGCAGCTCAAAGGTTATTTTCTTGAAGCAAAAAGTTGATTTGGTGGCTGTAACAAAAGTTCCCCATGTCTGAATTTCTGTGTTTGTTTCTATGATAAAATCTTCTGCTTTTTATCTTGAGAGTAAAGAAGTCACAGATTTCAGCTTCATGATAGCATCTGTATTGCTAGTCTTTGTTAGTGTGGCTACTGTGTCGTTCTTGCTCTTCTGTATCTTTTAACCTGCCCATATGAAATGAGGATGCAAATTTTATTGTGAGGTTATTGTGGTTTTCAGTGTTTTAAGAAGTGTATTACTTTCCTTTATCAGCACTGGATGATTGCCAGAGTCAATAGTCCACAAAGCTACAGATGAACAGTTTTCCTGGTTGTTCAGTGCCACTGATAGTTTCCCAGGATAAAAGTTGGTGTTGACTTATTAGTTCACTTTGTGTTGTCTTTTCACAGCAGTCACATAGAGCTGCCTCTCACTTGCCTCTCTCGTTAAAGTTATTTTGATTTCTTTTTGATCATTCTTGTTTTCTCTCATTGCAGTGAAATGTGAAAACAAATGCACAGGGTTTTACTAAGATGAAAGTGAGGTGGCCTTGCTTTTGAATGCTCTTAGTGAGAGAAAGCATGAGAGGTCGTGCAAAAGCTTTTTGAAATACGGCTTTTTCTTTCCCTGAATACTTAAAATAGCACATTCTGCCTCTCCGCCACCATTTGCATACTGGTGTATGTAGCTTTTTTTACCTTTCTGCATATTTGAATGCGTGATCAGTGGAAAGGTGGCTAAAGATGGAATCCTTGGTCATATGAAATGCATGTATTCAAGGCTGCGTTCTCCTTTCCCTAACTGATACTGGGTAAGGTCGTAGTGCAGCTCTGAGCAGAAACGTAAGAAGTTCAGAGGATCCATGTGTAGCTTCCTTGAGTCACCCGAGCCCATGGGGTTGCTGCTGTTTTGCAGTGTTGGCTCCGTCTTGGTGCTGGAGCTGCCTTGTTTGCTGCATGCTCAGCGCTCTTCTGCAGCGCGTGTTTTTCTAGCACGTACTGAATTAGTGTCGTCTTCGTGGGAGACAGGCTAGATAATAACTGTTTTTCATCGGCAGTTTCTGTGAGCAAGCTGGGTTACCTTGTGCACTTCTGAAACCCAGGAGGCCTCTAATGGATCTGCTACTCCAAAGCAACAAAACAGTTCACTTCTAGCTAGGGATGTTTGAATATCATCGTGAGTTTTAAAATATTCCTGTTGGTGGGTAGTCCAGATCTTCCTAAAACATTATGGCTTGCTCCGAGTTTGTATGAGAGTTAATACTGTCATCAAGGATAAGAATATTTATGGAGATTGTAAACTGGTTAACAGTTTAGATTTCCTGTGAGCTGATTCAAGACCAGCCATTTCTCAGTGTCCTTGACTGCCTGTACTGTAATCTGAGAGGCCTGGCAGGCATTGAACTTGTTCTTCCAGTGTAAACAAATATTTAAATGAAAATGTCAGGGTTTTTTTTTTTCTTTTTTTTTTTTCTTTTTAAGCTGGAGGTACTAAAAGCCTTCAGTGGTCTCTGTTGCTGTGTGCTTCTGATTCCTTTTACTATGAATTGTATTCACTGCTTTTCACCCTGCCTTAACTTCCTAGGCCCCTCTTCTCGCTTCCTCACACCCACATCCTTACCGAGCTGGGAAATGATTGTTTGGGGAGGATGGAGAAGGCAGCAGTAGATTTCTGCGTTCTTAATCGTGTGTCTGCTTTCATCTGCGTAGCAGGTAGCAAACTAGCAGTTAGAACTAAGCAGGACTGTTTCTGTTTTTTCCCTCCAGTCTCTACCTGAGAATTTTCTACAAGCCTCTGTGTGAATCTCATCTGAGCCTGTGTCTGTTAAAAAGTTTTTTCTTAATATACTAACTTTCACTGGTTTGCTGGCTGAAATCAGTGGTGGAGAGAGTATATTCCATTTATTGTAGATATTTTTAGTAGGTAACTAGTGTTTTTTTCTACTTAGGTACATTACTTGAAGGTGCTGATGTATGTTTTCACAGGGAGTGCTCATGTCAGAAAGGTTGAGTTTCGTTCTCATCCCACAGGCATTCGTAATGAGGCTGTTCCTTGCTGTTTTATTTCATTTGTTGCAATGTTGTAATGTTTTTGGTTTTGTTTTTAACTTTTATTATTACTCTTATTATTTGTTGATACCTCCTGTCTTTTTGCCAGGGTGATAGTTAAATCAAGAAAGTTTTAAGCAGATGTTTGAAATAAAGCCAAGTGAGTTTAAGTGCTCGAATGTCTGGAGAGGTATAAAATAGCACTAAGGGAAAGCAAATGTAGCATCTCCAGCATGTTCTTTGAAGAGATGTTTTTATTATTATATTTGAACGGAGGAAAACTCATGACTTGTTTGTGAAGGCTGTTTGAGTGGTGGGAGTTGTCACTGGTGTCCAGGCTCTGTGGTGCTTAGACAGCCTTTTTCCAGAAGTTGCCCAGGTTATAAATCCTGGGGACTGTTTGTTTCGCAGTTGAAGTCTGAACGTGAATTGAGGATCAGCATCTATCTAAAATGCATATTGCAGGTGTATCTGGTTCTGTTGGGCTGAGCGTTCTTGGAAATCAGTTCACAGACAAGTAATAAACTAAGGTCTCCAAAGGGACATTTTGGATGTTTTAGCATTAGTGCCTAATTTTTCAGTTGTTAGAGCCATGCTTTTGAAGGCACTTAGAGCACGTTTTTCCTTCAAAACATGATTTTAGTTGGAAAAACATTATTTGCTGAAACACCTCAATCTTTTGGAGTGAAAGTCTCCCTCATGGTCATCCTAAATCTCCGTTCCAAAGCGGCGTGCCCTTTTCAGAGATCTCCCATTCAAACTGTAGTGTACGTAGCCACGTGTGAAACACGTGCTCTGTTTCACTTGGGCACTGTGTTTGCAGCCCCAGAGCGAGCGCGCCGGGTAGCACCGGGAGCCCCTCTGTGGCCTCTGTGTGTGTTTTGCACCCGCTATTGCCACTGTTGGGGCCCAGCTTTGCTGCTGCCAAGGCACCGAGCGGTAGCAGCGGAGGCTGCTTCAGTCTGCTCTGCCCTTGGCTTTTACCGCCCGCTGTTGTTAGAATCTCCTGCTCTCCTCTCCCGCTATAACACACTGATTTTGTTACGAAGGGCATGCTTTTCAAATACGGCTCTCACAGGACTGCAGAAGCTTATTTTGCAAGTGAATTGTTTTTGTTTGCAGTCACCAGCTTTCCGGCAGCGCTGCAACTGCATCCCCAAAGTGGCCAGACAAAACAGGCCCCGAACTGCACACTTAAAGCCTCGTTGCTCCCTTAGAGTTTGTGTTGTGCACGAGGTATGGTGTCTGTGGCTGCAGGTAGCAGTGAACGTGCTTTTTCTATGTAAATCATACAGATATGTCCAAGTAGGCTAATATGAAACTAAAGAAATGCATCCTCTCAGTGCATGAGCTGAGACTGCAGCCATTCCTTTACCTCAGACACAAGCAGTTCAGTTCGCCCTAGTGTGTCCCTCTTCCTCTGCCTTGTTGGTTTTCGTGCACCTGGGATGTAGTCTTAACAACTCTTTCTTGGATTTATTAAATGTTTAAGTGATACACTCTGTCCCTGGAAAGGTGATGGAGCAGCTCATCCTAGAGACCATCTCTAGGTATGTGAAGGAAAAGAAGGCGGTTGGGACGAGGGCACAGAGTGCACCCTCAGCAAGTTTGCAGATGATACCAAACTGGGAGGAGTGGCCGACACTCCCAAGGGCTGTGCTACCGTTCAGAGAGACCTAGACAGGATGGAGAGTTGGACAGAGAGGAACCTTATGAGGTTCAACAAGGACACATTATTCCTGGGGAGGAATAACCTCAGGTACCAGTACAGATTTAGGGGTTGACCTGCTGGAAAGCAGCTCCGTGGAGAGGGATTTGGGAGTCCTGGTTGACAACAAGTTAACCATGAGCCAACAATGTGCGCTTGTGGCCAGGAAGGCCAATGGGATCCTGGCCTGTATCAGAAGGAGTGTTGCCAGCAGGTTGAGGGAGGGGATCCTGCCCCTCTGTTCAGCTCTGGTGAGGCCACACC